TCCACCATCATGGATTACTGGTAATGATCACTGTTACAAGTTTATCTCAGCTGATGATACTGGCGTAAATTCTTGTCCTAGAATGGTTGCGTATGATGCAGTTGTTGATTCTGATGCAGAAATAGAAGACATAAGTTCAGCCATTGAGAATATTGATTTTCTTAAGACAACACAAAAGAATTGGAAAATTGGTTTATTTGATTTCGCGGACAATGGCTTTTATCGTTGGTTTAATGGCAGATATGTGGAAGAACGGTATAGTGCACTTGGTAGGGAGTACAACGGAGAGTGTTTGGGTTTCAACCATGAAAATGCAATCCCTACCGTTGCCCCGGTAGATTGTAAATATGCTGGATTGATCTGTGAAAAGGGATCAGGTGTCTATAATTATTTTTCTTGTTTCATACAAATATTTCTGATAAACAGTATTAATAGGTGAACACTCCGAAAGGAATGGCGAGTTGATAAACTCAGTCTCAAAATGGCATCAGATGTTGCAGTAGAATGTACACGCGTTGCAAAATCTAACGACACCTGTCGTAGTTTAATACTTTTCCTCGCTTCTTGCTTTGGATATGACCCGAACGCAAGTTTTAGATTCATGCTTATGTATTAATTCATTAAGCGTTATTCTGTTTATAGAATATCTTGGTGTCTATGCTATCCCAAATAAAACTGCAGAACTTATAAACGTTGATATGGGTATTATGTTATGTGTTGAGACTTGTCGAGTACGTAATACTAGTTTAGCTCTGATATCCCAGTTGAAGTGTTGGTGTGATGACATCTTACCACCGACTACGGATAAAACTGGTAGAGAATATTGCTATCTTAAAGGACAACCCTGTGGTAGTGAATTCACAGCTGACGTTTATTCTGTCGGTAATATATGTACATATTTTTTGTCATTTTAGTTTTTTCTGGTGCATTTAAATATAAATAGAACCTTTGGGATGTAATTGGAATGGAAAAATTTTTCGATTGATATTTATAAGTAATTAATTATGATCTGTGTCCTTGTAAAGTCAATTATTATTCAAAATTTTATTTTGTAGATGTATACCCTTCCCTTGCATTATCTTGTAACGATTTGTTCAATCAGGGTATATTTTTAAGTGGACTTTATATGATCAATGGGACATCCACTAACTGTCAATTTATTGGTAAGTGAATAAACAATGAATAATGAATAAAGTCTATGCTTTCAAAATATGTATGCCACGCATCTTGTATGAAGACAAATGTGATTCCTGTTTTATGAACTTTTCAAATAAATAATGTTTAATGTCTCAGCGAGGAATTTTGTCATTCAACTGCAGTGTGCTCTTGCATAGCTCTTGACAGATAATATGACACACAGAGGCATGGTATCCGCATGCCCTTTACCAAAACGATATCACAGGCCGATGATTTGAATTTATATAGTGTGTAATGAAGTTGATAGATTTACGAAGTTAACAATTTGGTAAAATTTCAGATAATGATAGTGGTGATGAATATGAAGATTGGGTTTATGTACACGGCAAAAACTTTAGACTAATACATTCCAAAGTAAAACCTAGTCAATATGATGATACATGTAAACTATATGGTGGAGTTCCAGCTACCTTATCCACGTTGGATCAGTATCACACGATGCTGCAACTTATAAAGTGTATGTCCGATTAAGTAATTGCCAAGGAGTTCGTTATTTAAGGGGTTTTGAATTAATATACGACTGTTATTTGTTATAGATAGAGTTTTAATCGTGGAACTCAATAAAAATAAGAAGGTGTGGCTACACTACAACGATTTAACATTGGCGAGTCTCTGATACCGAATGTAAAATGATGTTAACCTAAAAATGCTGATCTCTATAGCTATCACTTGTTGAATAGTATCAATGTGAAGACTTGTACCCTCTTCAACCACAGTCTGTAACACTGGACATCCTGTCCTATGCTGCATGTTGATGCATTAGATCCTTGAACACCTTAGAAATTAAAACATTGGATCTCTTTTATGCTGAAAGTTGT